TCCAGCACCGGTAAAAAGCGGTGGAGAGCGAGGAACACTGCCAACAGGTCTAGGCGATTGATATGCCAATGCAGCTGGGCACCCTTCCAGAGGCCCGCAGCCGCATGCCCGCGACACACGGCCCCCCAACCCGTGTTGGAAGCGTCTGTTGAAACAACAACATGGCTGGACGCCTGTCCTAGAGGCACACCGGCCTGTAGGAACGAGGGGTCGTTCCAAGGGCTGAGGGCGCGGCGACACAGCGCAGTAACCGAGACCCGGTGTGTGCCCGCGTGCCATGCGCGTCTGGGGACCCGATCGTGAAGCCAGTGCTGAAGTGGTCTCATATGGAGCAACCCGAGCGGCGTGACGGCGGCTGCGGATGCCATATGCCCCAGGAGCCTCTGAAAGAACTTCAGTGGGACCACTAGTTTGCTGTCGAGCTCCCTCAGACAGTTCAGCAACAGGCGAGCGCGTTCCTCGGAGAGGTGCGCTACCATGGTGATCGAGTCCAGCTCCATCCCGAGAAAAGAAATCCTCTGCACGGGGGCGAGTTTGCTCTTTTCTCGGTTGACCTGAAGCCCCAGTAGGCGGAGATGCCGAAGCACCTCGTCCCTGTGCATAATCAATTGCTCCCGCGAGTGGGCTAAAATCAGCCAGTCGTCGAGATAATTGAGTATGCGAATGCCCGCGAGCCGAAGGGGCGCTAGGGCACCCTCCGCGAGTTTGGTGAAGACCCGCGGAGACAGAGAGAGCCCGAAGGGGAGGACCTTGTACTGCCACGCTCGACCCTCGAACGCAAACCGCAGAAATTGGCGGTGGCGTGGAAGAATGGAGACATGGAAATACGCGTCCTTCAGGTCTATGGCTGCAAACCAATCCCGAGGACGAACGCATTGGAGAATGCGCCTCTGCGTGAGCATTCTGAACGGCAGCTTGTGCAGACAGCGGTTCAAAACGCGCAGATCTAGGATTGGCCGTGACCCACCGCTCTTTTTGGGTACGATGAAGTATGGGCTGTAAAACCCACTCTCCATCTCGGCTGGAGGAACCGGCTCGATTGCACCCTTCGCCAGGAGGGCAGCAATCTCCTCTCGCAAGACAGGGGCGGACAGGGGGTTGACCCTGGAGAAATACACGCCCGTAAACTTGGGGGGCCGTTTCACGAACTGAATCGCGTAACCGAGTCTGATTGTGCGTATGAGCCACCGCGAGGGGCTGGCCCGCGCTAACCAGGCAGGCAGAGCCCTCGCTAATGGAGTCATCGCTACAATCGCTGACGTACCAGCGGTGGGGCAGCGCGGAGTGGGTGTGCTGATCCGGGAAGCACGAGGGTCCCGCGGAAAAGCTGGAGGAGAGCGATTCGCTCTGGCTCCGCACCCTGACTCCGGAGAGGGGGCTGGAGGGCTGAGGGAAGGGAGACCGTCCCCCCAGCGCTCGTGAGCCACTGGCGAAGCACGTAGAGTCTGCGAGCCGGAAGGCAGCGCGTCCCGGACTGGCAGAACTCGTGCAGTCACATCCGGGGAAGGGAAAAAGTGCTCTTTTACTGATGTTTTGGTGGCACTGAAAAGTACCGTTGTTATCGGGGCCCCGCCCTCCAGCGGGGAAAGAGCAAGTTTCCTCTTCTCCGGATGGCCTGTCTCAGGGACGCTTCGCGGTCCGTTTACCGGCTTTAACGGCGCCCTGGGCAGGAGGGGCTGCCTGCTTTCGAGGTGAACGCCGCGCCCGCTTGGCCAGAGGCGCAGGCGGGGGCGGGGCAGCACTCGTTGGCGGGCGCCCTCGGCGAGGAACAGCGGAGGTGGATGGCTCGGCGGGCGGAGCGGGCTTACGGCCACGCCGATAGATGACATTGCCCATCGCATCCGACTGCTCTTTCACCGCCTTGAATTCCTGGGTGAATTCACCGACGGTGTCGCCGAACAGGCCAGCCTGGGATATGGGCGAGTCAAGAAAGCGAACTTTGTCAACGTCGCGCATATCGGCCAGGTTTAGCCAGAGGTGGCGTTCCTGAACCACAAGTGTGGACATCGTCCTCCCCAGCGCACACGCGGCGGACTTAGTAGTCCGAAGAGCATAGTCGGTCGCGGTGCGCAGCTCATGTAATAAGCTTGGGTTGGACCCGCCCTCGTGCAGCTCGGCCAGCGCCTGCGCTTGGTAGCGCTGGTAGGTGGCCATCGCGTGCAAAGCAGAAGCAGCCTGGCCCGCAGCCTTATAAGCTCTGGCTCCGAGGGAGGCAGACAACCTACAGGCTTTGGACGGGAGGCGGGGCAAACCCCGCCACGTAGAGGCGCCGCGCGGACAAAGATTGACCGCGATAGCGCGCTCCACTGACGGGATCGCCTCATACCCCCTGGCAGCTCCGCCGTCAAGGGCGGTGAGGGCGGAGGCACTCGCAGCACGGGCAGAGAAAGGTGCCCTCCAGGACTGCGTGAGCCTACTGTGCACTTCCGGGAAGAAGGGGACGAGAGGCTTCGAAGGCTTCGCCTTCTGGTCCTCTACGTAGCACCCATCTAGTCGGTCCGGCCGCGGAGCTGGGGGATAAACCATCTCCAACCCCACGGCCGAAGCAGCCCGGGAAAGCACGGCTAACATGTCCGCTTCAGGATCCGATTTGACAGCGCTCACCTGCCCGGAGGGGGCGAGCGGGTCCGGATCTTCGTCGGACAGTGAAAGCCCACCCTCCGATGCCGCGGAGGACATCTGATCTCCGGTGTCAGCGAGTGTGAGAGCTACCATCTGGTTAGATGGATCACTCTCACCACCCGAAGCTTGGATGGAGCGCCGTGAGGAGCGAGAGGTCCGCGAGCCCGTGGGCGGCGGATTAGCTCCCGCTGAAACCCTCAGATCTGCCCGAGCGCCCGCTGCTTTTTTAGAACAGGAGGCAACTGGGGTGGCTCGCTCTCTTGCGAAAGTTAGCCGCGATCTTAGCTGTGCAACGGTCATGGCATCGCAATGACGACATGAACCGCCCGCGAGCACCGCATTAACATGCTGGACCCCCAAACATGCAATGCAGTGATCGTGTCCATCATCCGGAGACAGGAAACCCCCGCATCCAGAAACGCACAGTCGGAGCGCCATCCTGAAAAGGACGTGCTGCACGACTGTGTTGCTCTTTTAGGAAAGTTGCAACTATACGCACCGCTCTGGAGGACCGGACCCAAAGAACCGCAGGCAAGGGAGTAACCCAGCTCGACCGTCTGCCACCGCAAAGACCCACTCTGGACCGGGAGACACACTCGTTCGCTCTGAAGTGCTGATCAGCAAGAGGAACCCTCATCGACTCACTCAGAAAGGATCTGAAGCGAAAAGGATGGCGTCTGCTGGCTTCAGGTGTGCTTATATGCTGAGATAATTGCAGATGTCGCACACCTGCGCAAGCTTACGCTGCCAATTAATTTCATTCATTGGCCCGTTCAATACTCTCCAGATAAGCGGCTTCTGATCCGAATCCTCCCATTCATGGCACTGAAGTTCCCCAACCGAAGGGGAACTACCTTCCTGCAGATTTCAGTTGCTATCCATATCAAACACACCTAAACCAATTAATTAGGACCTGAACACCACGTGATAATTACAGGCAGGTGTGTTTGATATGGGTAGCAACTGAAATCTGCAGGAACGTAGATCTCAAGGAACAGGATTGAGCACCCCTGCTATATACCATGGGGGTCAAACTCCAAGTTCCAAGTACCCACCCTGCTTCAACATTACCTGTAGATTTCTAACAAGCCTTACTTAGTTTGATCAGGTGTGTTTAATTAGAGTTACAGCTTAAAGTCCCGGGCACACTGCACTTTTCTTCCTATAGACTTCCATTCGTACGCATGTGAATGCTGCAAACCTGGAATGGTAGCTCATGCGACAAATTTCATAATTCGCAGCATTGGAAAGTTCAAGCTTGGAGAACGCTGAACGCGAAATCACATCATGTGATTGCTTGAGACCAATCAAAGATCAAAACATGACCTCTCTGGCTTGCTTTTTCAATCTCTAATTATTTTGTTTAATTCAACTTCTTGCTTTGTTTAATTCCACTTCGCAGTGCAGTATGACAGAATCTTGCATGCTCAAACGCTAGTGTGACCGCAGCTATACTGTGCAGACCTGTAATATGTAAGACAATATTTATATCTGCTGATTTCTTAATTTTGTTATACATTTTCTGTTATTTATTTGTTTGGTGCCAAAACAATAAAATAAATTTGTCTAAAAAATTTTATGCCTTCTATTTTTAAATAACAGCTAAGAATACTGATTAATTTTAGTAACACTACAATAACTATATATGACATACTATTAATGTGTATGCAGTATAATGCTGTGATTTGTAACGCTACAATACAGTAATTAACTGTACACAGTTTCCAGTTAGTCACCACTGCTGCTCTTACAGTAATTAACTGGCAACACTGTTGCCAGCTACTCACTGTATCGGTTCAGTTACAGTAAATAACTGGCAACACTGTTGCCAGCCACTCACTGTAATGGTTCAGTTACAGTAATTAACTGGCAACACTGTTATGTACTGTGCAAATTATGTACTGTAATTAATCTAAAACTAAATAAATATAAATTTAAACACGTTTATACAAGTAAATAAATAGATTCAATAATGGGGTTAAAATCTGCGGAAATATGTAGATTTCTGCACACGCAGATTCCCTGTGAGCCTACATATTATCATAGATTACCATCATAGATCTCAAATTAGATTCCTGCAGGGCCGCAGCTATGAACAGTTTTGTTCCAAGCCTAATCAAGCATAGCTGATCCAACTAATCAAGGTGTTGAAGACTACTAGAGACTATTAAGCAGGTGTGAGTTGGAGCTGTTTGGATCTAAACTGCTCAGAGCTGCGGCCCTCCAGGAATTGAGTTTGACCACTGCCATAGATGATAAATATCGCATACTTTCAGATCAAAGGAAATAAAAAATCTACCTAAATATTTTTCAAAATACCAAACAGGTTAACTTTGCTAAAGATGTGCATATATGCAGCTCCAGTGTAATATTTATACCTGTATTTTTCCCAGGGCAGAGAGCACAATCGTTGCCCCAGGCCTCTCCATACAAACAGCAGCACTCTGTGAATGAGGTGTGTATGTTGGGGATAGGATTTGCGCAGGAGAAGTTTTCAGTTACTCTCTCCCAGCAAACCCCTGAGTATAAGTCAGCTTCACTTTGCCCTGTAAAACACAAACATGCTTGATATGATCTCTGTTAAGCAAACGTCAGCTACTTCATACTGAAAAAATGCTTGTTATGTAAGATGGTTGGAAAAAAAATCTGTAAAAACATGGATTTCCTCCATCCTAAAAAGACAAACAACAACAACAACAACACAATGCTTCATATAATTCAAAATATGGGCAAAACAACAGAAATGGAAATTTCTTCCACATATTTTAAAATTAGTTTCACATAATTTTGACCTTGCTGTCAACTAATGATAGTACTGTAACTGTAGTATTAATGAACCAAAGCTTCTAATGTATTCCTCATATTATATTCAGTTATAAATTTAAATTCTATTTGTCACATACACAGTCAAACACGATATGATATGCAGTAAAATGCTTACACAACCAGTCGTGACCTTAAAAAATAGCAATAATAACAAAAGTAATAATAATAATAATAATAATAATAATAATAATAATAATAATAATAACAACAACAACAACAAGAATCTAAATTCTGATGAAAATAAGCTATGCAATAGAAAATAAAAGCAAATATTTAACATTTAAAGACTTTTGATAAAGAGTATGTGGCTGTAGAAAAATAGTACAGTCTGAAAGAAATAGCTTGTTCTGAGCATCCTCTAGATGGCAGTATGACATTGTTAGGAATTTCACTTTGTACAATTGAGGGGTTTAGAGGACACACTATAGGTTTGAGAGAGTTTAGATTTTAAAGGATTAAGAGCTCCTCAAGGAACCCCAACAAATACAGATTTTAGGTGTCTCACTAATCTGACACACTCAATTCAGGTCATGGAGACTTTCCTAATAAGCTAATTAGCCCGATAAGATGATAGATATGGGGAACATCCAAAATGTGAGGTGTTGGAGGTCTCCAGGATTGTGATTTAGAAACAGTCTTTAAGGAGTAGAATTTACATGCAGGATTATCATCTGCATAATATTTGACGTAAGACTTTACCTGCTACGTCGGGTAATATGCAGTGTGTGTTGTCCATTGCCAGAACCATAGGAGGGGTGCAGAAACACTGATATGAGCCATATGTGTTCATGCATTCACCATCTCTACATTTTGCCTCATCTTGGCATTCATCAGTGTCTGTAGAGATCAGAGACAAAGAGAAACAGAAAAAAAAATCAATAAGCTAGATCATTGATGGAAAGCTAAGTCAGGCTGGTCTGAGTATACATAGAATACAGTAGATGCAAAAACATTCACCAACATAAAGCAATTTGCCATAAAGACAATGCATTCATTAAATAAATACTAAAGTCCTTTCTGCAGAGTAACTATAGAATTAAGTACAAACTAAAATGATTGCAAACATGTTATAAGTACAGTTTTACTGTCGAAAGGGAAAGGCTTGGTTTAAGGTTAGGTAGCTTGTAATTATGCATAATGTACAAATATTTCAATATTTACTCCAGGTATTATAACTTTATTATGTTTTATAGGGAGCAGTATTTTAGTTACATGATGTTTCAGCAAGTAATTAAAGTGGGTTGCACAATCGCCTCACAGCAAGAAGGTTGCTGGATTGAGCCTCGGCTGGTTAAGTTGGCATTTATGTATGGAGTTTGCATGTTCTGCCCTTGTTTGCGTGGGTTTCCTCTAGGTGCTCTGGTTTCCCCCAGACGCCAAAGACATGCGGTATAGGTGAATTGGGTAAGCTAAAATTGTTCGTAGTGTATGTGTTAATGTGAGTGCATGAGTGTTAATGACGTTAATTGAATAAACTAAATTAGTGTATGTGTGTCAGTAGTGCGTTATAACTGGAAGGGCATCCGCTTTGTAAAACATGTGCTGTTTAAGTTGGCAGTTCATTCCACTGTGGTGACCCTGGATTAATAAAGAGACTAAGAAAGTTAATAAATATTTTGTTTTAAACTTCAGAAAATTTAGCACACTGAAAAAAAATATTCAAAGATGATTCCTTGGATTTACTAAAAAATTTTTGCGTTAAGTGGTTGTAAACAATTTATTTGTGTTGAATTTGAGAAAAAAAAATTAAGTTGAACATTATTAAACTTAATTTGTTTGTTTATATTCAACACAAATAAATTGTTTGCAACAGTTGTGCATGCAAAACTTTTTTCAGTGCATGTTTGTGTTATACTTGTGAAGGCTCAAAGGTTCTCACTTGTAAAGCGAAAGTAAAATTAAAGTGATTTTGAAAGTGGAATTAAAATGACCCACTAGTAAGGACATTTCACAGGTTTTTTACTATTTAAAAAGGCTTGTGATTCAGCCAAAATATTTTTTTTTCTATTGGTTTCTAATGATTGGCATTTGTTGGGGTTGTGGTAGGCCATAGGCAATATCATTAACCTGATTTAAAAACAATGGAAGCCTATGTATTGCTTTCGAATCAAACCTCTTTCTTTCCCTTTCTCTCCCTCTCTTTGTGCATGGTTTACAGTTCAAATGTGTTCATATATATGTAAGTGGGTGTAGGAAGTCAAATGACTGTGGCTGCACTGAATGTGTGTGTGTGTGAGGCAGTCAGGGGTGTGTCAGCTTTAAGGCAGTGTGGCTGGGCAAGTCTCCATAGCCGTGGGTCTGTGGTCTCTGTGAGTGAGTGTGTGTATGTGTGTTTAGGCAGGCAGACAGCCTGCGGTGCACCATGGAGCTGCGGCCTGGATCATATCGCCTGTGCCGCCCTGACCGGTCGCAAGATGTAGCCCTTTGACCTCAGCTCAAACATACACAGAACCTGCCATACGGCTGCATGCATAATGTGGCCGCAAGCCACACGCCGTCAGCTGCAGCGCCTTTAAAACTTACATTTAAATCCAATTTAAATGTGTTGGCGTTACAGTGAGCCAAACTAGGCCAACACTTACAAACACGCACACACACACTTACAAACTAAGCCTGTCATTCTAAACCAACAAAAGAACACAATGACAGTTCAAGGCTAAACATTACAAGCAATAAGCGGC